CTTATAAACAACCAACGTTTTCTAAAAGACACAAGACGTTCGAAAACTCGCCATGGGAGACAAAATCATTCAGGATTTGAAGTGAAGTGAAGTTAAGACAAATTCGACATTATAGGGCGAAAACATGAATAAATTCGTATATAGAAGCGTATCGATTGGTGTTTAAATTTTGAAACAATTTTCCATCATTTAAATGTCACTGTGAAATGTGGAAATTATGAATTATGAGTTATGAAATTGAACTTTACAAGACCAAAACAAGGTGTCTGACAGACTGACACCGTCTTGTCTAATGTCAACAGTCAACACGATGTTGCCATATGCCGTGAAAGATTAGAAGTTTATCCCATCATTCCGTGTGGATTCGAGAACTTTGTTGGTATTGGTGAAATTGTGAGAATTTTCTGCAAAAGTTTACGTAATTTTTATTTTGGAACATATTCATTACAAAATTTGTCAATACGGATACACGACTATTGATGTATTGGAGGGAAGAGTCGCCGAATTTTTATCGGTTTTCGACATAGTGGCAAACCAGAGAATTTTTAGAATCCGTTCATTTTTAATTTCCTCATTTAGTCAAAATATAACCAATTTCTTATATATGATAATGCTGGTATCCATGAACCATGATACTTTACTGGTCTACTTATAGGACTCAAAAATGAACTTGAGAGGGAGTCTAAAAAAACTCTCTGCTTTGCCACTATGGCTTTTCGAACCACACGCAAGCGAGTTAGAGGAAGTGCAGCTGTCCGGGTGTCCGCAGTTTCTGACAAGCTCAGTGTAAGAGTATGAGTAATTGAGTATCAATTGTCACTTCGGTGGAAGGTGTAAGGTGGTAAATTTTTCGATACATTTTCTTTTGTTAACATGATAATATATTACCTATACAGAATTCCAATTTGCACAATACTTAAGATTGCCTTGGTATTGGATAGCTACAAGTCTACGACTATTAGACTATTAAGTATTACTATTACTGGCATTCAAATCACAGGGGGAAATTATGAAGTTGGAGTTGGACCATGCACCATTGCATTGAGAATTTCACCAATTTGCATGGTTTTTGTCACTGCCAATAATCTAATCATAGTGACAAACCAGAGATTTTTTAGAATCAGTTCATTTTTAATTTCCTCATTTACTCAAGATTTTTCAACGATTCAAACATCAATCAACGATAACGAAGAGTTGTCGTTGCGTTGCCGAAGAACGGCCTTTGTGCAATCAGCTGGTTTGATGCAAGGCTTCGGAAGAAAATGGTGCTGACAAGTCGACCTTGCAAATACCACGTCATCAATGAATGTAGTGAACGGAAATCGACATAAACAAAATTTATTATCAATTAACCTCTCCTTGTGGTTTTCAATTTGCTTGAAAACTCAATCATAGATTCAGTCTGCTCCGAGTACATTAGAGAGTTTCATGAGACAATGCTCGATGTTCTCTTTTTTTTTTATAAGAATTGCTGGTCTAAATGCTTGTTGCCATGGCAACTTTGGAATACAAACTCGAATAGCGAAATTACTTGGGAATTGTTTTAACTTCATGACCTGAGCGAGCATGGATCCACTATACCTTGCTCTCACATGCTTCAGGAAACGTAAATTTGACAGGTGCATAGAAATATGTACCAATTTATTGGCTAGAAACCCCTATGATCAGGTGGGTCGTGGATTTAAGCATATATTCCTAGATTATTTCAATTTTCAGATTAATGGACAAAATGTAATGTTATGTGAACAAATTTACAGATTAGACCGCCAAAAATACATGTAGCGTTTTTACATGATTATAATTTTATGGTGGCTACGTCATTAATCTGTATTATCTTGTCGCCGATTTTGGCAAGAGTTTTCACGACTTGATGTAGGTTTAGAGCCCATAACTCTCTGCTTATAAAATATTTAACTCAAATTAATATATATATATATATTCAATTCACTTAGAAAGAGCATTCTTTTGCCCCCAAATTTTGAGCTAAAATAAAGATAAGCCTATAACCACTCCTCAACCCACTGCTTCTGTGCTACACCTTAAATATATAAGAATTTAGCCCACATCATATAACACGCCATTCTATGAAAATGTTACAGCATTAGCAAAAGAAGTGTAGTAAACCTCAAGGAATGCATATTCTGTTTTTTTTTACAAGCACACTCATCTGCCGGAAAATGACGATACGTAGGTAGAGCGGGAAAATTTTGCATGGCAGACTATTCTAGATATATCAACTCAACTTAAAAATTATTTTCCCATCTCAGGCCCCTTGGTCGTTGAAAATGCGTGCGTTGACGGAGCAAGTTTGGGTTGACGAAGTCGAGGGCGAAGAAGAGGTCCTGGCCGACGCCCTCATGGATGACAACAGCATCGCCACCGTCGCCCGTCCAGGGACTTCTCTGCGAACGGCTCCTCCGTCCACAGCAGGCCAGGGGCCGTCACAGGCTGTACGGTACAGATAATAAATCTCTGAGATGAATGCTTTTTGATAGCTCTTATCATTCTTCAACAAGTAATTCTTTAGTCAATAAAACAGCTGCAATTAACTTTAGTAACTCATTCAAAAAGAGAATGGAGTAAATTTTAAAGCTAAAAACATGCTGTAACATATCATTAATTTTAACTCTCACTAACACCCATTGTGATGGTCTTGTGGGAACAGGCCCAGCACCCAGGGTGGTCGCCCGCTGACCGGAGTGTTGAGGCCAGGCACGCAGGGCGGCCGGCCAGGGACCATCGACCAGGCGCTGAAGACCCCACGGACGGCGCATACAGCAAGACCTGTGTCTGCTGCCACTGGTATGATGGTTCTCTCTAAGGTCCAGACCCGTGTCTGGACCCAGACCCGTGTATGATGGACTGGTATGATGGTATGGTATGGTGGACTGGTATGATGGACTGCATGGTATGATGGACTGGTATGATGGACTGGTATGATGGACTGGTATAATGGACTGGTATAATGGACTGGTATCATGGACTGGTATGATGGTACTCTCTACGGTCCAGACCCGTGTCTGCTGCCATCGGTATGATGGTACTCTCTACGGTCCAGACCCACGCCCCCGGGACACACGCTGGTCAACATCACGACTCACCTGAACCTGAACTGCTCGATGTCGTACATGAGACATCGCCCCCGGTCACACACGGTGGTCCACATCACGACTCACCTGAACCTGAACTGCTCGATGTCGTACATGAGACATCGCCCTCGGTCACACACGCTGGTCCACATCACGACTCACCTGAACTGCTCGATGTCGTACATCAGACTTCGCCCCCGGGCCACACGCTGGTCCACATCACGACTCACCTGAACCTGAACTGCTCGATGTCGTACATGAGACAGCGCCCTCGGTCACACACGCTGGTCCACATCAGGCAGGTGCTGTCGATGATGGAGCCGAACATGATGGGGGCGGGGATGTAGGCGATGAGTCTGTACATGACGAACTGCAACCCAAGTGCCAAGGCGCGCTCTTCTTCCGACACTGACCTGGATTATTTAAGTTACTTCAAGATAAGGAGTTCCACGTTAACATACATTTTATAATAAAATATTTCCGTAAGAACATAATAAACACAATGATAGTTATAGGCTGGAAAAAGAAATTAAAATGAGAACAAAGGGCCGAGAGTGTTCCGTGAGGTGCTGGCATACCTTAACACGATCATGAGGAGGGGCATCTGTGAGGTGGCGACACTAGCACACATGAGGAAGAGCACCACCATGAAGGGCATGAAGGTGTTGCAGGGGATGTAGCACGGGCCAGACGTCGCCACGGGCACCGCTACCACCTCCGCGAACGCCGCGCTTGACGGCTCGAACGCAACGCTGTCGATACCTGCGGGCATGCGGGGCACGTTAGGTATTTAGGCGCCACTCACATGTAAAGTTCATCACGCAGAGATACCGTACAGCTCACCACTCACAGGTACAGTTCGCCACTCACATGTACAGTTGGTGAAGGACGAAGGTGAGGCGGCCGTACAGCCGGCATGGCAGGGACTGAAGTATGTAAGGCCGTTGTTACCGCACACGGGCTCGGCTAGACGGTGCGAGCATTTGCATCCCGTATTGCACCAAGACGTCAAGTTTACGGTGAATGTGCCACTAAGTTTACCACTAGCGCTCACGCTCGAAGGTCCTTGGTGTTCAGAGCTTGAAAAGAAACTGCTCCTTGATGCCAAGTTGTCCCCATCCTGGTTTTCATCGAAAGGAGTCGTGATCAAAACGTCATCGATGTAGTCGGAAGGAACGCTAAATTTAGGCATCGCAGTGCCACTGAAGGCCGACCTCTGGAGCGCTGGAGGGGCAGTAGAGTGCGTGTAACCAGCTGCCACAGGTTGTTCTACAGACTTGCTGAAATACGGCGAAGTAGCACCAGCCATTTTGACGTTCTCGCATCCGAGAATAAAAAACAATCCGTAGAGACTCAGGCCAAAAAGGTTACATACCATGAGCATCTGCACGGCTCCTTTGGGACGCAGGCTGAATCGTTTGAGGATGTAGCCCCCCAGGAATGTACCCACGCACGCCCCTGGGATAGCGACTCCTCCCGTAAACACGGACGCTTGCACATTAGAGAGTGAAAACTGCGTCTCCAGATACTTGGGCAAGAAGACGATGAAACCCGAGACGATGATGAGCTCCATGCACGCCGCCAGGCAAGTCATGAAGTAAATAGGATTGAGTATAAGTTTCAAGAGACACGCAGGAATATCTCGTACGTCCTTGCCATACATGCGCCGCGAGGCCAGACTTGTTCTCGACACGCGCGAACAGGTGCTAGTCTCGCTCTTGGTCCTGCGGTGGCCTTTGGCCGTCTCCGCGCTCCTCTTCTCTGCAAGTCGAACTTTCTCACGTTCCTTCACCAGCTTCTTCGGGAACATCAGGAATGGAACTGACAGGACGAATAGCGCCACACTGCCCAAAAGAAATCCCGCCCACCACATCCCAATCCAACGTGGATGAGTTCTGTCAATTTTAATGAGATCTTCAGAGACAAACAAAGTATCAACATAAAACGAGAGAAGATAGCCTCCTAAGAGGAACCCCAATACTGGCCCGAACGCTCCCATGGTGTAAATGATGCCGATGTACAGGGAGGAGTCCTGCCTCTTGACGTGGTCGTCGATGTATGTGGTACCAAGCGTCAACAAAGGGGAGCCTCCAGCCCCCAGCAGGAGCTGGCCCGCCATGAACAGCAGCACTGGGGTTATCTGGCCAGGTGCCACGTCTTCATCAATGCAGGCGCCGTTATTAGACGACCCCAAGCGAGGCAGCTTAGGAAAACCAAGCTCAGGCAGCTGATCAATTGGCTGGTGATGGATTGTGGCCGCCGTGCACATGCTTGATCCATTGGAGGCTAAGGCTCCAGATCCTTCAACTGACCATCTTTCCAAGAAAAGTTGTGGACCCACAAACAACAGTGAGCCCATGCCCATGGCAACACAACCAACAGCAATCCATACAGGAATGTGACGGCTGGATCCAAGATACGACACAAAAATAACGGTGGAAACGTTGCCAATCTCATACATGGATGAGATGAGGCCAGTAATGTATGAAGGCACCTCATATCGCTTCTCTAAAGTAGTGATCACAGAATTCAGGTAGCCTGATGCCACAGCTTGCTGGACGGTCACAAGGAGGGACAGAAGCAGAACAAACACTTTGATGTTTGCAAGTTTTTGCAAGAAAGAAGGACGAAATGATAGCAGACCACACTCAACCGTGGACGAATCTGATGTGGGAATGGCGGTAGAAGATTGGGGCATTGCTGCAGCACAAGAGGATGTACCAAAATGATGTAACGGAACTTCCTCTTCTTGAGATGGTAAAGTTTTTACGGTATCAACTCTTATCGGAATATTATTTTTAGGCCCAGAGTTACTGCAGACATTATTTTGAACAATTGGTTTATCTTTTTCATAAGTTTCTAATTGAGACGTAGTAGGTTTATCATCATAAGGCTCTAACTCAGCTAAAGCATCTTCAGGAGGACAATTGATTTGAGAGCTCAACTTTGAAGATTTTGTTGGCTGCACAGCTAAAGATTTGTCATCATGTGTTGGGCATCTTGTAGTATAATTAGGGCCACTTAGACTGCCACTGTTCACTATGCTGTTATGGTAAATAGTATCACAATTTCTGCAATCTCCCTCTTGTAAACTAGATACAGAAGTTTGAACTGAGCCATGATCATTGCTGTAGCAGCCATGAAGATTGTCAGCGTTTATGGTCTCTGTTGAGCATGAAGGGCCATTTGATTTTTTCCTTTTCTTGCCATTGGATGGAAATGCTGCAGCAGAAGCAGGTTGCTGCTCTACATGAGCAGATTGGTGACTGTAGAGGCCAGTCTTTGTGTAGGCATCATGAGACATCTGAAAAATGAAAAGATAAGACTATTTCTCAATTCAAGTGAACAAATATTAACATACCTATAGTGGGATTTTTTTAGTAAAAATGTTCATTTTGCAATTAATCAAGCACTTTCCCCCAAATATTCAAGACAGAAATATTTACATGTACATAATTAATCTCTTACAAGAAATATTGTGTTCTTTGGAAATTGGAAATAAAGAACATATTCTTTATTGCGTTCTTTAGAAAGCTACAATTTTCAGTCAAGATTGCAAGCATAAGTGAAAAAATCCAGAAGAGGCCAACTGCAAAATGCAAATGAGCCAAAACAGCGACCATTTGGCATTTGTCTTTTTTCCCCATGGTCCTTGCATAATTCTACCCAGGATCAGAACAAAATTCTAGAGGGGGGAACTGGTCACAACAGCTCTATCCAATTTCTCAGTAGGTAATGCTTGCAATGTAAGCACACATTATGACTTTTTTCCCCATGGTCCTTGCATAATTCTACCCAGGATCAGAACAAAATTCTAGAGGGGGGAACTGGTCACAACAGCTCTATCCAATTTCTACATAGGTAATGCTTGCAATGTAAGCACACATTGAATGATACACGGTTTGAACATTTTTTAGAACCAAAACTTAAAAAAAACTACCAAACTGACTATGAAAATCCAGTCAAATCTTTAATGAAGATCATCTTGAAAAGTAGCTACAACCAACATCAAGCATTAAGATCCACCATGTGCATCAGGGTGCAGAGAGTGAGCAAATATCAGAAGATCATTGGCCAAATCAAATATTAATATTGATAAATATACCTACATGACATGAAGATTTCAAAATCTATGTCTTCCTAAAATATATGCAACGCTCTTGTCTTAATATAGTACAGGGTGCGGCGCGGGAACTTACTTATTTGAATTGCGCGCCACGTGGCGGCCATTAGTCCTAGGAAGGTGGCGCCATGCGCAATATGGTGCGCGGGCTATGAAGTTTTTCGTCCACTCAGTTCAGTTGCTGTCTCTTATACACATCTAGATGTGTATAAGAGACAGGTTTTAATCTCTACGCCTTTCAAAACGGCAAATTATTATGCGATGTAAAAATTTAGAATTATTGATATTGTTCAATTTACGATTGATTCACAACGTTTTGAACACGCCGGTATTTTTACGATGCAGTCCGCCTCCTGCCTTCCATGTTTGTGCTTTCGACGTCGCGCCTAAATCTAATTTGTGCCCGTAGAGCGGCTTTCCTTTTTTCTTACTTACTTTGATCTTTTCCCAGAGACACGACCTGCAAGACTCGATATTTCATTGTTTTGTCTCGCACTTTTTCATGTAAATCAAATTATTTCTTTTGATGTTGAGTCACGATAGATCGAGGCAGGCGGCTTTTTAAAAGCTTGGAAAAATTTTATCGTTCGCTCATGTTGGTTATTGAACCTTGATTTTTATCTCGAAATGCAGCCGGCAATAACAACCTCTGTCTCTTATACACATCTAGATGTGTATAAGAGACAGGCATGGAGGTCACCTACAAGATGTAATATTCAAGAATTAAACTTGTAAGTAAACCCAACGAAACTTTAAATGTAGCTCTTTGTAAAAAAGAAAGAATTAAAACGCTATCTTTAATACTTTTTACTTTGTGATTTTTTTAAAAGAGTAAGTTCCCACGCCGCACCCTGTAGGTACCTCTTTAAGAGTATTTTTAGCCAGAAATTATGAAGGTTCAGGTAGTACTTCTGGCAATGAATACTCAAAAATACTAGCAAGATTTTGGGCCAATCAGCCTGATCATCATAATACTATTGGCAAACTCTGCATAGTGGCTGGCATGAAATATATATATCTACCTTTCAAGCTGCAACTAGAATCAACCAGGGCTACTCGGGACGGTTTTGAGTGTTTTTTGTTAATAACTTCTTACCATGAAACATTTCATAAACAAGTTTAGGCTCATTTTATAGCTCTTTGCGAGGGCTATCGAATGGAATCTTTAAAAAAATTCCATATGCTATTTGTAAAGTGCCAGAAGCAAAAAAAAGAGTGTCCCAAGTAGCCCTGTCGAACGGGGCTACTCGGGACACTTGGAATAAAACTTCATTTTAAAATATTTGAAGCATGCTGAGTGTACTCATCTAAAGGTGTACTCATCCAATCCAACAGTACTCTGAAGTCCTCCTCTTTCATTGTAGATGATGTAGAGGTAGAATAAATGACAATTTCTGTGATTTTTACTGGTTTTTCCTTTATTGATATGATATTCCATAAACATTAATTACCATCAACTGGGGTGACTTCCCCTCTTTTTTGATTTTGTTTTGCAAACAAAAACAGGGTCCTAAGCGCCGGGGTCATAAACGCCATGGTTGTAAACGAGGTCATAAACGCCAGAGTGACTTTGGCCATCGTTTATGACCCCACTTTGGCCATCATTATGAACGAGGCAGGCCTAAGTCCCCCAGTTGACAGTACTGTATTATTGATGTGATATTACTGTATTAATGATGCAATGTTACCATATCCATGAACATGCCATTGAGCCATTGAGCATTTACAACAACCTTGTTCACTGCAAGCTTCATATCAGCAGCCTTATAGCATTTTTTCTGTATCTGTAAGCTTACAATGGCTTGTAATTTCACACCATTTTAATTGGGTTAAGTGAAATTACTATAATAAAATATAGGTAACTCCGTACTCACTGCGGTGAGTGACAGAGCGCGTATTTTCTCGTCAACAAAAACTTGAGGTCATGGTCGGATGGACAGATGGACATGGCGAGCACAATAGTGCATTTTTTCCATAAATGAGAAAATGCACTAAAAAGATCGTGAAAAACATACCTGAAACAGAAAGGAATGTTTTAGTGACAACCATCATATGTTTTGGAGAAATAAATCATAGTTTAGGCCAATTACTTTTCATTATATGATGCCTGGTGCACAATTCTAAATATGACATTCTATGCACAATTTTGTGATGCCCAATGATGCACTAATTTTTTGATAAGTGAACTTTTTTCGCTCAGCAAGGTAAATGTAATCAATAGGTATTCTTTGTTTTTAATAAATTTTTTTTCTTAACTGGAGCCTTTGCTAACTGAGGTTCTACTGTAAATGTGCTTTTGGGGGTGTCCCAAATAGCCCCAGGGGGGTGTCCCGAGTAGCCCGGGTTGACGGTAGAACTTCCCTGCCATATTTTGAGCCACAATATTTCTGCCAGATCAATCAACTCCTATATACTTGTAAATAAATGTATACACTTGGGCTGCAAGGTTCCATATGTATGAAAAATTTGTCACTTGGCAGCCATCAGATTTTATTCATAAGTAGGGAAGTACTGTCAAACAGGGTAATAAGGGACTGGTGGGGTAAATCAGGACAGTCCTCTGTCATGGTGTCAAAATTTCAGAGGCAAAACTTCTAATTCATAAATTGCAAAACTAAAAATTGTGGCATACACTTCAATATTTTTCCTATCTATGTAGCACAAAGGAAGTTAAGAAATCATACATTTACTAGCTTCAAAAATTTCCTGAAAAAATGTTTGAAATGATATTTTGGAAAAGTATTTCACTAAGGTAAAAATAACCTAGTAAAAAAATATCTGCCATATAAAGAAATTTTGCTTGAAAACAAACTTGCAGGCAGGTGTTGGCTTAAAAACTTGATTGGCAGAATTAGTGTACCTCGATCCAAAAGAAAATTGCTATTTCTGCATGACAAGGTAGGTATTACAGGACAACCTTCCCAGGATTAATAAGGGACAGCCCTATAAACACATTTGCAGCAGAACCTTGGCCAACAAAAAAATAGTTGTTTACAAAGAATTTTGATTAAATTTACCTTTCTCAGAGACAAAATTTCACTAAACAAAAAATTACTGCATAATTGGTCATCACAAAATTGTGCATAGAATGTCACAGATAGAATTGTGCACTCTGCAATATAGAATGAAAAGTAATCAACCTAAACTATGATTTATTTCTACAAAAAATATAATGGTTGTCACTAAAATATTCCTTTCTGTTTCAGGTATGTTTTTTACCATCTTCTTTTTTGTTACAGTGAATTAATTCCCTTGACTACTTAACACGTTGACTACGTATTGGTACATATGCGCACCACGAAATATATTTCTCCTGGTACATAATTCAGGGTTGCCAGATGGCCTAAAAAACGGCCAATTAAGTCCGTGAACGAAAAGGCCAAAAAGGCCTATAACTCAATATGTACTAGTATATTTGTAGGTTCCGGTGTAAAAATTCAATTTTTTTATTTAATTAGGAAGCGCCCCTTACAACCCCTATCATAAATTTCAGCCGACCACCTAAATTGAAAAAACTAAATCGCGGAATTTGTCCGGTAAAAAAAGAAAGTATGGCAACCCTGTTCCATAATAGTACTAGAAAAATGAAACAAAAGTACAAGATGAAGCAATCGTAGTCAATGTGTTAAAATGGTGCGGAATCACAAGCCCAGTATGCAAGCCTATGGAGAAAATGCTATGCAACTGCTGATATAAAGCTTGCAGTGGACAAGGTAATTGTCAATGGCATGGAAGCTTTTTTGGGTTTGTAAAAGTGTTATGTATAGAATGAAAAAAATAGTTTTTGATAATGAAAAATGATACAGTATCATCAATAAAGGAAAAACAAGTACAAATCATAGAAAATGTCATTTATTCTACATCTACATTATCTACAAATGAGGAAGACTTAGGAGTACTGTTAGAGTTAGTACTGGATGAGCACCATCAAATGAAGTAATAAGGGACAATTTTGAGCATTTTTCATTACTAGCTTTTTGTCCATGAAACATCTCATAGACAAATTTGGGCTCATTTTAAAGGTCTTTGCAAGGGGTATTGCATGGCATCTTGAAAAAAATCCTATGTGCTATTTATAAGGTGCCAGACGCAAAATAAAAGCATCCCAAATTACTCCTGGGAATGGGGTAATTTAGGTCGCTTAAAATAAAACGCAACTAAATAAAATAATTTAACCCACCCATCCCTTATTAACCCATTTGACAGTACACTCTATACCTATGCTTCTAAAGTTTTAAAATGTTTTATTTCAAGCATCCTGGATTACCCCATTCCCAGGGGTAATTTTGGGATTTTTTTTTTTTGCTTCTGGCACCTTATGAATAGGATATGAAATTTTCTCATAGATGTCATACAATAAATAGCCCTTCACAAAGACATGTAAAATGGGCCCAAACTTGTTTATGAAATTTTTAATGTACCAGCAAGAAATTTTCAGCAAAAAATTTAAAAAATGTCCCTTACTTCCTCATTTAATAGTACCAATCCTGCATAGTTGCAGGCACACTGCAAATGAATGGATTGATTGATTTATATTAATAAATAGTGACCATTGGCTTGATCTGCATTGAAAACTTAGCCAAAAGCCCAAAACCTTAAATTAACCTCCATAACAATTTATGATGACAACTCAGGATACAGGAAAAAGATGGAAAAATTCTTTCTTTCTATTAAAATCTTACATTTCTTTACTGATAACTCTTTAATGAATTTGCAATCTCATGGCTTCAATGATGGCAGCCTATTGCAGGAAGGTTAGATATACATATTCCACAATCCACACCCTCAAGTCTCAACTGTATGTGGACAGTGGATAATTTTCTAGATTTTAACAGCCCTAGCATAATTTCTATTTCTAAAATATGAAAAACAGCACATTTTGCCATCATAATGACTCTCAAAAATCACTAGTGAAGCAATTGTTTTTAGCAACAATTTTTGGCTAAAGTTTTGCACATTGCACAATACTCAAGATTGCCTTGGTATTGGATACTACTAGTACTATTAGACTATTAAGTATTACTGGCATTCAAATCACACGGGGAAATTGAAATTGGGAAGTTGGACAGTGGAGACTGGAGACTGAGTCTGAGTTGGGCCATGCCGTGCAGCGGGCGTGCACCGCCACGGCGCCACCATGAACATTGAACCATCCATCATGGATCATGCCCATGGCACCATGGAGAATTTCACCCATTTGCATGGCTTTTGCCATTTCCAATAAGCTGATTCATGTCATAAAACTAGGTAGAATGTGATATTTCAACATGCAGTTTTATAAAAATCTAGGAAGACAAGTTTGTTTCTATCCTTAATTTCTGGGAAAATTTGCTCAATTACTACGTACGTCTCAATATAAAATACCACACAGACTGGAAGGCTTTTCCCACACAAGGCGAAAAAGTATTCTCAATTGGCACTACAAAGTATAAAACTATTTTTAACTCTTACTTTTGCGCATTTAAACTGTGTAATTGGTGTGTTTTCCTTATCAAGACATCACAACGAAAACTTCAATCAACGATAACAAAGAATTGTCGTTGCCGAAGAACGGTGCTTTGTGCAATCAGCTGGTTTGATGCAAGGCTTCGGAAGAAAATGGTGCTGACAAGTCGACCTTGCAAATACCACGTCATCAATGAATGTAGTGAACGGAAATCGACATAAACAAAATTTATTATCAATTAACCTCTCCTTGTGGTTTTCAATTTGCTTGAAAACTCAATCATAGATTCAGTCTGCTCCGAGTACATTAGAGAGTTTCATGAGACAATGCTCGATGTTCTCTTTTTTTTTTATAAGAATTGCTGGTCTAAATGCTTGTTGCCATGGCAACTTTGGAATACAAACTCGAATAGCGAAATTACTTGGGAATTGTTTTAACTTCATGACCTGAGCGAGCATGGATCCACTATACCTTGCTCTCACATGCTTCAGGAAACGTAAATTTGACAGGTGCATAGAAATATGTACCAATTTATTGGCTAGAAACCCCTATGATCAGGTGGGTCGTGGATTTAAGCATATATTCCTAGATTATTTCAATTTTCAGATTAATGGACAAAATGTAATGTTATGTGAACAAATTTACAGATTAGACCGCCAAAAATACATGTAGCGTTTTTACATGATTATAATTTTATGGTGGCTACGTCATTAATCTGTATTATCTTGTCGCCGATTTTGGCAAGAGTTTTCACGACTTGATGTAGGTTTAGAGCCCATAACTCTCTGCTTATAAAATATTTAACTCAAATTAATATATATATATATATTCAATTCACTTAGAAAGAGCATTCTTTTGCCCCCAAATTTTGAGCTAAAATAAAGATAAGCCTATAACCACTCCTCAACCCACTGCTTCTGTGCTACACCTTAAATATATAAGAATTTAGCCCACATCATATAACACGCCATTCTATGAAAATGTTACAGCATTAGCAAAAGAAGTGTAGTAAACCTCAAGGAATGCATATTCTGTTTTTTTTTACAAGCACACTCATCTGCCGGAAAATGACGATACGTAGGTAGAGCGGGAAAATTTTGCATGGCAGACTATTCTAGATATATCAACTCAACTTAAAAATTATTTTCCCATCTCAGGCCCCTTGGTCGTTGAAAATGCGTGCGTTGACGGAGCAAGTTTGGGTTGACGAAGTCGAGGGCGAAGAAGAGGTCCTGGCCGACGCCCTCATGGATGACAACAGCATCGCCACCGTCGCCCGTCCTGGGACGTCTCTGCGAACGGCTCCTCCGTCTACAGCAGGCCAGGGGCCGTCGCAGGCTGTACGGTACAAATAATAAATCTCTGAGATGAATGTTTTTGATAGCTCTTATCATTCTTCAACACTATTCTTTATTCAATGGAACTGCTGCAATTAACTTTATTAACTCATTCAAAAAGAGAATGGAGTAAATTTTAAAGCTAAAAACATGCTGTAACATATCATTAATTTTAACTCTCACTAACACCCATTGTGATGGTCTTGTGGGAACAGGCCCAGCACCCAGGGTGGTCGTCCGCTGACCGGAGTGTTGAGGCCAGGCACGCAGGGCGGCCGGCCAGGGACCATCGACCAGGCGCTGAAGACCCCACGGACGGCGCATACAGCAAGACCTGTGTCTGCTGCCACTGGTATGATGGTTCTCTCTAAGGTCCAGACCCGTGTCTGGACCCAGACCCGTGTATGATGGACTGGTATGATGGTATGGTATGGTGGACTGGTATGATGGACTGCATGGTATGATGGACTGGTATGATGGACTGGTATGATGGACTGGTATAATGGACTGGTATAATGGACTGGTATCATGGACTGGTATGATGGTACTCTCTACGGTCCAGACCCGTGTCTGCTGCCATCGGTATGATGGTACTCTCTACGGTCCAGACCCTGTCTGCTGCCATCGGTATGATGGTACTCTCTACGGTCCAGACCCTGTCTCTTATACACATCTAGATGTGTATAAGAGACAGGNGGGGCTTTACAGCGACGCTGAGAAGCAGTTTAAGGTCCCGTAACTGCTGTGTCAACTGTTATTTAGAGCCAATATAAACTGGGGCTTTACAGCGACGCTGAGAAGCAGTTTAAGGTCCCGTAACTGCTGTGTCAACTGTTATTTAGAGCCAATATAAACTGGGGCTTTACAGCGACGCTGAGAAGCAGTTTAAGGTCCCGTAACTGCTGTGTCAACTGTTATTTAGAGCCAATATAAACTGGGGCTTTACAGCGACGCTGAGAAGCAGTTTAAGGTCCCGTAACTGCTGTGTCAACTGTTATTTAGAGCCAATATAAACTGGGGCTTTACAGCGACGCTGAGAAGCAGTTTAAGGTCCCGTAACTGCTGTGTCAACTGTTATTTAGAGCCAATATAAACTGGGGCTTTACAGCGACGCTGAGAAGCAGTTTAAGGTCCCGTAACTGCTGTGTCAACTGTTATTTAGAGCCAATATAAACTGGGGCTTTACAGCGACGCTGAGAAGCAGTTTAAGGTCCCGTAACTGCTGTGTCAACTGTTATTTAGAGCCAATATAAACTGGGGCTTTACAGCGACGCTGAGAAGCAGTTTAAGGTCCCGTAACTGCTGTGTCAACTGTTATTTAGAGCCAATATAAACTGGGGCTTTACAGCGACGCTGAGAAGCAGTTTAAGGTCCCGTAACTGCTGTGTCAACTGTTATTTAGAGCCAATATAAACTGGGGCTTTACACAGACGCTGAGAAGCAGTTTAAGGTCCCGTAACTGATGTGCCAACTGTTATTTAGAGCCAATTGAAACTGGGGCTTTACAGCGACGCTGAGAAGCAGTTTAGGGTCTCGTAACTGCTGTGCCAACTGTTATTTACGACTAAAATAGTAGAATCATTGTTCTGTCTTATAATATTCTTAGTCAATAAAACATCTTTTTCATGAGGCGGATGCGTGAAAACTATTTATCCATGTTTAAATAATCTTCGAATATATTTTCACTCATAGAAATGATTCAAGTTACTATGAGAAAATGGAAATTAATGTTCAAGCTTGTGATTGTCTGAACTATTTTCTGAGCTCAATTCGCGCAGAAGATTTGATTGAAATCGAATCTTTTATAATTATACATTATTTCGGCAGTCATCAATAGCGCAACAAGAGCACATCACCACGTACCTCCTGCTGGGGCGGGTCTACGTGAGGCTAGACCAGCCCATCACTGCCCTCGAGGTCTACAGCAACGGTCTACTCCACTTCCCGCAGGAGGTCTTCCTCACCACTGCCATTGCCAGGTCTGAGTCCATTGATTCCATTAGGCCACACAGTGTTGAACAATGCCTATATCTACGAGGCATATATATTGTTAAAGTGCTTCATTCCGCACCACTTCTGAACTGACTTAAAGACGCAGTTTACCTGGGCGAGCACGATTTTTCACTATTTACCTGTCGGCTAAAATGCCGGACGCTAGTAATTTGGTATGATTACATTATTAGTTTATTGTTTTCAGCAGATTATTTATAATATAAATAAAGTTCATTATATATATTTGTTATCTAGATTTGTTTCCTGAAGATATTTTCGTACCGATTACCGAAACCGGATAAAATACTCCTCAACACCGCGTGTTCTTTAATTAACTGCACTCCACAAATCCAATGAATATCTATAGAAATTTTTTGCATATAATTTTTGATGTTATTCGTGTGAGTAGCCATAAAATCGTAATCTATAGGTACACGCGGCGGCCGCTTTCTCGTCTGTATTTGGTTGGTTTAGCTACAAAAGCCGTCAGTGATTGACAGACGTAGTTACGAACTCCTAATAATTTTTGATAGTGCGGCTCTAGGCCGGTAATTGGAGTTGAGTGCTAAAACCTGATTGTTTCCTATGCGTTAGGATCCATGAAGGCCTCAACGACCTGCCCATGGCGGTCACCTACTACAAAGATGTCCTCAACAGCGACTCCACAAACATTGAAGCAATAGCATGTATAGCAACCAACCACTTCTACTCGGACCAGCCTGAGCTCGCCCTCAGGTTCTACAGGTGTGAAAAAATGCTGTCATAACTCATTTCTGATTAGCCTGAACTAAGTTATAATAACTTGTCTGTTGAGCTGCTAATGATATGCAATCTGGAGCAGCAATTGAGTTGCCAAAAAGACCTTAACGTCGAGGGGTGGGTGTACTGTAGAACTACTGATAGTTTTGTTCTGCAGGTATTTTCTTGTAAAACTTTCTTGTATCTCGCTTGTGTACTGCTATCCAGACGACTGCTGCAGATGGGCATATACAACTGCGAGATCTTCAACAACCTGGGCCTGTGCTGCTTCTATGCTCAGCAGTATGACATGACACTTAACTGCTTCGAGCGAGCCATTGGACTCGCCACCGACGAGAGCGTAGCTGACGTGTGGTACAACCTTGGCCACGTCGCTCTGGTGAGTGTGATCCTTTTGTTATCTAATAAAAATTTTAAACAATATATTTTCAACATGTCCAGAAAAATGTCTGATTTTATATATAATATTTTTTCAGGGATTGGGTGACATAAATCTTTCCTACCAATGTTTCCGTCTGGCACTCGTGTCCAACAACGACCACGCAGAAGCGTACAACAACTTAGGCGTGTTGGAACATAGACGTGGCAACCTCGAAACTGCCAGAGCATTCTTCATGACGTCATCGTCGCTCGGACCGCATCTATTCCAACCACTTTACAACCACGCTAGTTTGTCTGACTCGGTAATAATTTATTTAGTATTTGGTCTGTATTCCAATTGTTCAAAGCCGTGACTGTTCATTAATAATGCAATGATTGTAGTTTTTACATATCTCACTTAATTGGGTTTCTTCTTGGCACAATGGCGGAAGTTTTGGTTTGTATCGGAAGGGGGATAGCGGTATTTTACACTATCCACAACCGGTATGTGCAATATTTTGTCGTCGGCTGTCATTTTTAGTGTTTGTACGACGGCCGAGAAGCCAATGTTGCATTGAAATTATTACTTAGCTCAATACTACTCCATGTCTGTCATGTAAGTGAGATAACACTTTACTTGTTTTGGCAGTTGGGAGACCTCCAGGCGAGCTACGTGATAGTCCAGAGGGCACTAGCCATCTTCCCCGAACACGTCGACTCCAAAGAACTCCTCCAGCGCCTCAAGGTCCACTTTCAGACCTTGTAGCCCTGCCCTCTTCCAGACCTTGTAGCCCTGCCCTCCTCCACCACCTCAGGGTCCACATCCAGACCTTGTAGCCCTGTCCTACTCCAGCGCCTCAGGGTCCACTTCCAGACCTTGTAGCCCTGCCCTCCTCAACCACCTCAGGGTCCACATCCAGACCTTGTAGCCCTGTCCTACTCCTGCGCCTCAGGGTCCACTTTCCAGACCTTGTAGCCCTGCTCTCCTCCAGACCTTGTAGCCCTGCCCTCCTCCACCACCTCAGGGTCCACATCCAGACCTTGTAGCCCTGTCATACTCCAGAGCCTCAGGGTCCACCTCCAGACCTTGTAGCCCTGCCCTCCTCCAGCACCTCAGGGTCCACTTCCAGACCTTGTAGCCCTGTCCTACTCCAGCGCCTCAGGGTCTACTTCCAGACTCTGTTGCTCTGCCCTCTTCGTAAAACAACGCCCCGCGCTAATCACCCTCACCGTACCCTCGCTATGCTAATCAACAACAACGCCTGGTCCTCCTCACAACATTCCAGACCCTGCGATGCTATTTATTAACCACTTATTTAGACGCACCCGGAACGTGAGGTGGCATCGAAACCCAAATTACTCTTCAAAGTCTGCGGTGCGGTGACACCTTCCCGTTGCTCATTACATCTGCAATCAGGCCTGCCAACGCCACAGTCGGCGGTGGCCGGGGGCGGCGCCAACTCATTGGTGTGGTTGTCAGAATGTGGAATAAGATTAAATTTTGCGGAACTCTGAACACTGTGAAAGATTTTTCTTTAATCAAGAACTTGATTTTAATAAAATTCTAAACAACGTGGAGGGTTTCATATCAATTTCTTTGTTAGTTTTTCTTAACATTTTTATTAGTTCACTCTTCTAACACCATACAAAATTCAAATAACAAACTGTACAAATGCTGTCATTCTGTATTCAATGCGAAGCAAACACTTAACATAAATCGTCACGCATATGCATCAGAAATCTGGGTTGATAATACAAATTTAATAAAACGTAAAAAGAATTAATACATTCGTCAATTTGAAAAATAAATCACTGCCAGTTTACGTATCTTCTGACTATCGATTTTTAATAAAATGGGAGAGAAATATGAGCGGAAATTTCATCCCATCATCTGTGATATAATAATATAAGATAAACCAATATTAAAAAATTCCAGTTATATACCATGAACAAACGTGCGTCAGATGTAAAAGAGTCACTCGAAATGTACACTCAACAACTAGAAGTAATATAAATGCATAGTAAATCACAAGTCACTTCACATGATGATCAATAACACTGGGTCAAGATGAGCTTGCCGCTCGTCCTCCGGCAGCAGCGACATCTTCAGCTCCAGCAGACGATCCAGCGTCGCCGTGTCGCGTAGTTTCGACAGCGGAACCTGTGAGGATATTGTCCCTTGATATTCAATTTGACAAGTTTTCTTTAGTTTAAAAACTCTTAACGTTCACATGGATGCCACCAGGCATTCGTGAAAGGGTCAAGCAGCTAAAGGAAACTTTAAAAAGTGTTTTGCGGCGTTGTAACTTATGGTATTCACATTAGTACTTGCAAAAAAAAAAATTCTTTAAAGTTTTCTTGAATTATTGAACTTTTGGAGGAAAACTTCGATAAGTGCAACATGCAAAATCAGACGCCGAGCATTCGTCACACGCATCGTTATTTGATTCCGCTTGTAATCGATACGTTTCGACAAGTAAATATATCAATATGTGCTCTCATAATTGGCAGGAAATCGTGGTAAGCTAAGTAGTTATCTTGTGTAATTCGCAATAAACATTTAAAACAACAAAGATGCCGTCTTCATTAATCCCTTAAGTCTTCAACTTTTGCCTACAGACAATATGTCCGAAGTCTCTCTCTGTACTCTGAGAGAGCTTCTTTACCGGGTGTCCACGCTGGGTGGACTTGAAGCCACAGGACAACTGCAAGAATGACAGTTACGTATCTGAGAGAGCGTTTACTAACAGCCTCAACTATCCTGGAGCTCTGAGTCTCAATCTGGAATCTTCGTTCAACAACTGCCACTTTTGGCAGCACCCATGCCGATTGTAAATATCTCTGACAATATCTGTTCCGTAGACGAAACCCGTTAGTAAGTGCGAAACGTCATCATTCAAAAATCAGCAATGTACTGAAGAAGGATACTTCGCAAAATAATTTTATGAATACTCTACTGTGATATCAATCATCAATATATTCCTAGGAAAGTCTGCAATTACGTTGAGTAATGCGAGTTCTCACCTGGAAGGCCATGGCTCCCGCCATGTCGGGCACTTGAGAGAAGAGCGCCTGCGACGCGATGGCGCTGAACGGCGTTCGGGAAGCGCTCGACAGGTTAGGTTCCGGCAGGTCCCTGTGGCGTGTCAGGTCGGTAAGTGGTGCTCTGGTAACGAGGCTGTTCGGTCTCTCATGTCTGACGGGCGAGGTTTCTATTTTGGACATTCTAACCGAAGAGCTTTTAGGTTTCGACTTCCAAACTGTATGGCTGGCAATGGATTCATCGGTCGACAAGGAAGAGAGAGGTTTGGGTTCCCTTGATTTATCATCAGGATTTAGTTTGCTGAAGAGCTGAGTCTGGGCTGCCAGAGTTCGGATGGTAGCCTGTACATCTAGAAGAGTTTGAGGTGTTGCAGTTCTTGGTCTACTCTGCCTTGCTTGAGGCATTGGCTTGGCTTTACGAGAACTTTTGGTAGCTGTTTCGGTTATTGTTGAAAATATGCCAGCAGGAAAGGTGTGATCATCAGGTGAGGTTGGCTTCCTCCTGAAACCAAAGGAAACCATTTCGTTTGACTGAGGACTGACAATAATGTTGGGGATTGATACAGTGTTGTCCTGTGACTCTATCCTGTGTAACTGTGTCGCTGGACTGGGAGTTGTAGCTTGCGATGCAGAAAACATACTCTTGACCGCCTCGAGGAGGCGTGTCTGGTCGGTGGTAGAAATGAAGTGAGCATTCGCAGCGTCGTTGGAAGATGTATGCTTCTGAATTGGGAAGTCTTTCAGTGAAGTTAACTGACTCAAGATTTCTGGTAAAACATCTTCAGGTTCTGGCACGAAAGGCTTTGCTAAAACTGAGTGACTTGAAGAAGTGTCCATGTAACTCGACTTCTCGGAGGAAGCAGATGGAAAATCGTTGAAGCCGCTATGCTCAGCCTTTGGTCTGGCAGGTCTATGAACTACAACAGGACCTAATGTATACTCTGCAATGTTCGACGACTCTGTGGCATATTGTACCGGCGCTACGGGTGGCTCCGTTGTTGTGTATTTAGAGTGTGACGACTGATCAGACTTTCTGAAAGTATTCGAAGAAATGTATGCCGAATTAATAATGTCCACGCTGTCACTGGGCTTGCCCAAATTTTGTGTTTTAATGTCAGTATTCAGAGTCGCGTAATTACGTCGCTTCTTTGAAGTCGTTATTATATTAGTCTTTTTGTCTTCTTTCGTACGATCTGCTCGAAATTTACTGCGAGATCTACTGGTTGAAGATGAAACCTGGAACCCTGACTGCAGCTCGGAGTCCTCTTGTTCGTTATGTGAATTCGCGCCCGGGCTCTCGGTGAGCAATCCGCTCGACATAAGATGATTCTTCAGAGCGTCCAAACTTAGAAGGTTTCCGTCAATATTGATTACGCCATCTCCATCCACATCCAGTTGTGAGAGATCGTCTTTTGCGTTCTCGACTCTACTTTCTTTGTCAAGGATTTCATTCTGATTTTCGTCCGAATTACTTTCGGGCGCGGGTTGACCTTTAACTGCTAGGATTTCTTCGCCTGACTGATGCTTGCGCATGTATGTTCCATCCTGCAAGTTGATGATGGGGGTAAAGTCGAAGTCCTTAGTGAGGTTCAAGTGCTTGTAGTATGTGCTGTCGCTCTGATCGAAGATTGCAACATCTGAGCAACCTCGGAAAATTTCCTGCTTTCCGCAACCCATCATATCATTTCCATCCTTGCAGAAGCCCCAGTTGTTGCCTGAGATTTAAAAGAAGATTACATGCAAGAAGCACAAACAACTTGTGCACTCAGTAAAATCACACAAAGCATGAATGACGATTATTACGGGATTAGCACGATTTTAGTTAAATCATTGCACTTAGAAGTGCGCAACTTTCAAGCACGAAGAGAAAAATTAGCATATTTTTACGGATACTTTGAAAGGTTCACTAAGAAATATTATCTTACGTGAACTTCAAACGCATTCAATATAGTGAACCAGTCACCTGAAGTGTAGTGCCATTGCAGCACGCAGTGCGAGCACTTGAGGCCGCGAGGCAGCTTCAGGCGAACGCGAAACAGGACCTGCGATTGGTCCTCAATGACGAACCTGCAATAGAACAGCACCTGAGATTGGTCTTCAATGACGAAACTGAAATGGAACCACACATGTGATCAATCCCAATGACGAACCTGCAATGTAACAGCATTATCTGCAACTGGTCGTCAATGACGAACCTGAAATGGAACAGCACTTGCGATTGGTCCACAATGACGAACATGAAATGTAACAGCAGTTGCGATTAGTTCTCAATGACAAACCTGAAATGGAACAGTACTTGAGATTGGTCCATGACAAACCCCATAGAACTTCTAGCTCATTGTAAATATCTCTCAAATCCATAAAATTCGCGTGTGCCCGCTTATTTTGCTTGCGTGTCAACTCCTACCTTGTGCCTGGAGAGTCTGCCAGCTCGAGGATGTTCTGGTTGAGGCAGCTCTGTTTCGCGTACTCGTTTGGGTTGTTGGTTGGACACAACCGAAACTCAAACCAGCCGAAGTGATTGGCCGTCAAGTGAACAACCGCTGTGATTATCTGCTGAATCAATGCGTCGTTATGATCTGAAGTACTTACAAAAAAAATAGTTTTAAATATGCATTTTCACAGCCATGATGCTAGAAGTGGATTATTAGGTATTTGTCGTTTCCAAATAAATGCCGAGCCGATTCACAATAAAAAATTTAATTAATTGCTTTAGAACAAATTATGGTAGAAAGGTTTCAAAATGTAATATAATTCCTGGCCTGTAGACCGTACGTCCCCACATGTCCCTGCCTACTTAAACCCCGCGTGTCCACTTGTCCCTGCCTGAGGACCTCGTGCCCCTATATATCTGTCTCTGCATGTGGACCTCGTTGTCTTACCTGTCCCTGCCTGTAGACCCCACGAACCCTACAATACTTGCCGGTAGAACCCACGTCCCCACCTATCCCTGCCCGTAGACCCCGCATCCCACCTGTCCCTGCCTGTAGATTCTGCTGAGGGTCCCGGTCCCAAAGACCCCTCCAGCCTCATGGGGACGGGGGCGGGGCAAGTCCCATGGGTCCCCACACTCCCCACAGCGGCCGCCGTTCGTCGTCCACTGCCGCTATACAAGAAAAAATCTCTTAAACGTTACAATTTGAAATTTTCTTCCTTAATAATAATATTTATCTTTTGTAAACTATCAACAATAACTGCGCAGCATCAGCCATCCGGCCGCCAGTATCATTTTCGGAAAAGCATTCGTGACTCAAACTGCCTCAGAAATCGACAGTGAAAGTACAGTGTGGGGCAGAACCGATTGAGCAGTTTTGAGGCAAAATAAAAGAGTAATGGAGGTACATAAAGAAGAAAGTTCATTTTCCTCGAGGTTAGCATAACATACCATTTAGAATACTTNTATCTACAAATAACGTTGGTATATCTAGAAGTAACGTCGGCCGGTATATCTAGAAGTAACGTCGGTTTATCTACAAGTAACGTTGGTATACCTAGAAGTAACGTCGGTTTATCTACAAGTAACGTTGGTATATCTGGAAGTAACGTCGGTATATCTAGAAGTAACGTCAGTATATCTAGAAGTAACGTCTGTTTATCTACAAATAACGTTGGTATATCTAGAAGTAACGTCGGCCGGTATATCTAGAAGTAACGTCGGTTTATCTACAAGTAACGTTGGTATACCTAGAAGTAACGTCGGTTTATCTACAAGTAACGTTGGTATATCTGGAAGTAACGTCGGTATATCTAGAAGTAACGTCAGTATATCTAGAAGTAACGTCTGTTTATCTACAAATAACGTTGGTATATCTAGAAGTAACGTCGGCCGGTATATCTAGAAGTAACGTCGGTTTATCTACAAGTAACGTTGGTATACCTAGAAGTAACGTCGGTTTATCTACAAGTAACGTTGGTATATCTGGAAGTAACGTCGGTATATCTAGAAGTAACGTCAGTATATCTAGAAGTAACGTCTGTTTATCTACAAATAACGTTGGTATATCTAGAAGTAACGTCGGCCGGTATATCTAGAAGTAACGTCGGTTTATCTACAAGTAACGTTGGTATACCTAGAAGTAACGTCGGTTTATCTACAAGTAACGTTGGTATATCTGGAAGTAACGTCGGTATATCTAGAAGTAACGTCAGTATATCTAGAAGTAACGTCTGTTTATCTACAAATAACGTTGGTATATCTAGAAGTAACGTCGGCCGGTATATCTAGAAGTAACGTCGGTTTATCTACAAGTAACGTTGGTATACCTAGAAGTAACGTCGGTTTATCTACAAGTAACGTTGGTATATCTAGAAGTAACGTCGGTATATCTACAAGTCTGTAATTCGCAAACGAAGTAGAAATCGTTTCATAATGGCTCTAATGAACAGGTAAACGTGAGGATTGGACCACTCTAAAAATTATTCTAATTCTCTTACTTCAGTTTCCTCAGTATAAACAATTTATTTTTGATGAGCTCCAAATAGTTTAAATAATTTGTTTCATTGTCTGTCGCGTTGCCTCGGGATTGTTTAATATCACGTGTCAGAGATATTTCTTCTTATCTCTGGCATGTGAAACTTGTAAGGGATTTTTTTTTTGCTCTGGATGGCCTGATGAAATTAGTGGCAAGATCGCATGGAAAATGAAAAGTATCCCAAAGGAAATAATAACGGGAGAAAGGGTCGTCACACGAGGAAAAAATTACGGAAGAAAAAGCGAAAATCCGGAAAGAATAATTAATGGAAGAGAGGGTCGTAACCCGGCGAGAAAAATAATAGAAGAATGTGACATAATCCAGACAGACAAATAACGGAAGAAAGGGTTCGTAATCCGGAGAAATAATAGAAGAAAGGGTCGTAATCCTTACAGAAGATAATGGAAGAAAGTGTCGTAATCCGGAGAGAAAAATAGTGGAAGAAAGGGTCGTAATACGGAGAGAAAAATAATGGAAGAAAGTTTCGTAACCGGGGAGAAAAATAATAGAAGAAATGGTCGTAATCCGTAGAGAGAAATAATGGAAGAAATGGTCGTAATTCGAAGAGAGAAATGATAGAAGAAAGGTCGTAATCCGGACAGAAGAATATAGGAAGAAATGGTCGTAATCGATTTGCGGGACGACCGCTTCTAAGCGGTAAGCCCGTCGATGACTTTAAAATATTTAAATGATATTTTGGGAGAGGAGATAAACTTGGGCTACAAGATGCAACTGCTGGCCGTACGAACATGTCTGCTACAGGCTGCAACTTCTATAACAATTATAGGTTGAAGATTTTAGTTCGTGGAGACCGCGTGGCAACAAGATACCATCTGTGGAACCCATTAATTCAGGTCCAATAGGTAAATAGCCGATAAAAACCAATTGAAATAAGGCAATTGCACCAATTGGATAAATTTCGTTGCATTATATTATCCATACAAGAAGTTTCGTCGTAACGGGCCAAATGTGGGTTGTATATTTTAATAAATGCGATTAAATTTGCCCTCTTTCATATAGATGCTATTTACAAGATCCACTTCAATCTCATTATACGATCCTCCGATAAGGGGTGTTTGCTGATACAAAACGTATTAATTAAGATAAAGGATATAGTTCATAGAATACATACATGGAAACCTCCACAGAAGAGTTCGTGGTCGTTGTAGTCTGGAGGTGTTTGGAATCCCAGCCGCCACATCGTGCCTCTGGCAGGCGGGTCGAGCAAGCGGCCGTGTCCTGTGGCAACAGCCACCAAAGCAAACAAAACTCCTATCATCAACATTTTTTTCAATTCTACGACCACACAAAGTTCAGTAAATTATCAATTACTCACAGAAGTTTACTGACGGATAATCAAGTTATTTCTTTGTTGGTACCACACACGATTTCGGTATTCTTGATGTCAATTAACAGTACCCTGCAAGGTACCTACACTTTTTAGTTTCAAGTTCCCTCGTTTTTAAAAAGGAACCTATGTCTTAATGTTTTAAAGTAAATCCAAATTTCTAAAGCTAACAAATCTCTTTAAAAAAAACCTTCAGTTTGATAGTTATTTTAAACTCTTCATACTTTACATAAAAAATGTTGGTGAAATACCATTTAAATGCTATTAAAATAGAAGCAGGGCTCTGCAAATAAATAAAAGCTCTCAACCAATAAGATGGAATCAATCGTAGTCGTTGCGTACTCTATTCTATGCTGGGTACAAACATAATTATAGAATTGCATAAGTTCATCGGAAATTTTGCCTAATTAAAGGAATATATTGCTAATACGTGTTCTAGCGATGAAATCTGAAATGATTTATTCATCTGTTCGTAAATATCCAGAGATAATATTTTGAATCTTGCGAAAAATATATATTTCGTCTATTATTGCCATATTTTGGCCAGCATAAATTGCCTAATTGCACCGACATCCATCATCACATGTATGAATGTAGTAGCTTGATTAAGTGATTGTACGGCACACAGTTTCGGTCAAAAGCATGCAAGATGGAGGATAGTTATGTTAACCTAATATATGTTAACCTTATTTCGAGTTACTTAGAGTGCCACGTCGGTTAGTAGTTAATGTAAATTCATATGATTCTGATGGGAGAAATTTGCACGGTAAGTTCGTTCGAGCCTCTTAGTCTTAAGATTTGACTAATCAAAACTTGTCCTATGTTCACCTTCTAAAAAATTTATTACTCCCATTGTACGATGTTTATTTTTTATGGATTGCGAAATAACTTAGCGCGGAACAGAACGACTCCCCTACACCCACTTAGGTCCCAGGCGAGAGACTGCAAGGCTAACAACTCACGCACACGTTTATATAGAGTCGATGAGCGGGAGAGTCCTATTGGAGCCGCCTGGCCAATCAATGACGGCAATCCATATTATAAAAAATTCGACAGCGTAAAAAAATAGAACATGTACTACATTGTTTTGTCACAAATTTGGGTAAAATAAACATTTTAAAAACTTTTCATTTATTATGTATTGACAAATCAATACGGTTAATAATACTCCTTTACAGTAGAAATGTCTCTGCTCTGCAAGCAACACATTAATGAAAGCATATTATTTTTCTTGGTCTGAGAATTAAAATGTTACGATGCCTTCAAAGAAAAAAAAAAATTATCTCGTCTGACCGCTAAACATTCAATTGAAATCGGTTTGAATCAATTTTACCACCTGTATTCTAGTCTTTCAATCAATACAGATTTTAACGGTTTATTGGCCCGTATGCTAAATGGGGCACTAGCACTACGAAGTAGCACTACGCACTACAAGCCGTAGTGCGGTACTAGTGCGACATGGAACACTACGGTTGGCATGCTAAATAGGGCACTAGCACTTTGAGGTAGCACTACGCACTACAAGCCATAGTGCGGCATGGAACACTACGGTTGGTATGCTAAATAGGGCACTAGCACTATGAAGTAGCACTACGCACTACAAGCCATAGTGCGGCATGGAACACTACGGTTGGTATGCTAAATAGGGCCAAAAGCATAACGCGCACTACAAAAATCTGAAGTGTCCAACACACCGCACTTCACGACGACACTAAGGTATATTTAACCTTCTTTACTTCGTCAGCTACGGATCTGTTTGGCTTACAGCAAAGGCATCATCGCGTAAAAACCTCAGGAACAGCATGCCATGAATATAAAAAAGTGTGCCGCTTCAGTGAACGACATGTTATTCTTATGGCTGACATTTTCTTTGGCGAAACTGATGAACAGCGTAGAAGTAAAAAATACTTTTCTTGTTTTTGATGCCATGTTTTGAATTTTTTTTTCTGGAGTCATTTTGAATTCTTCTGCAAAAACTTTCCATGCTTCTATCTTTCTTTCGATGTCTTTGGTAAGCGTGGACTTTGAATATATGATGGGAAAGGTGTGCAGACGCATTGCGAATTTCAGCTCACCATCACAATTTTCATTAGTACCATTACCACCACAATTAAACATTTTACATCAGTCTTCTGCAAAGAATGAGAATTACTTAAGGAATAATTAATTATTTGAGCACTTAACTACCATTCTTCAATAGACACATAGCGTAGTGCGGCACTATAAAGTACTCTAACAGCGAAGCAGCACTTCAAAGTCTTTCTGCATACGAATCAGTAGTGCGACATTAAGCGACACTAAGCATTGTAGAGCTACTTGGAAGTGCTTAGTGTCTGTGACGTATTTAGCATACCAACAGGACACTTCGTAGTGCATAGTGCTACTTCGTAGTGCTAGTGCCCTATTTAGCATACGGGCCATTATCTGGTTAGCTCAATGAGATTGAAATCGTGTAAAAACTTTCTTCCTCAATATCATACATAGATTTTGAAGCAAGAATACACGTACATTTAACCTCATAATAATAAGCACATTTAACCTCATAATAATTGCCAGGGGATTTATATTATCAATAATTTTTTTCAGTCTCTTCCAGTTGAGATTAAAACTTACTTACCATCATGAGAAATCATGAGGTAATTTCACGATATTTTCTTGCAGTTGCCGTATTGGCTGACGAATTCCGCTCCGGCGTATACCATGATTCAAGGTTAGTCCTGTTCACGCTCGAGTCGGCTCAGCAGCTGTCTTTGATAGCGGAAAAGCTAAATTTGGTACCACTACCTACCTGTCTACCACACATACTTTTCTATCAAAAAGAATCTTCCTCCAAACGACTTTAGAAATTTTTCAACAATGGCTTTCAAATTTTTAAAATCTGAGTGGACTAAGAATATTTTTCAGTAAGTTTTACTTTGTTTTTATTTTGGGTACTAGCTAGCCAGGCTAGCCTAAGGCCCTAAGCTAGGCTGGAATAAAGTTCTTGCTTGTAAATCATTGTAATGAATAGTGTGGGTCTAAATTTTTATTTCATGCTGATATTCCAGTTTGAATGATATTTATGGTCTATAATAATTCATTCTGTGATTTCTATCATAATATTATTAGCTACCTAGGTATAAAGTTGCAGGTAAAATTTTAGATAATTTCAAAATAGGCTATCACTCAAATTTGCCATTCTTTTTAAAATTTAGAAAATGAATTTGGAATAGTAAAGTTCTGTAGGAACAGATTAAATTGTTCTTCAATCTTGATATAGCCTAGATCACTCGCTCACTTTTGTCTTATTCACTGTTGGCTTCTGCCAATTTGGAAAATTGGCCAAAAGCCAGAGGTTTTTGCTTTAAGCCACCAAGGAATTGGGTAAAAATGCCTGTGACTCTTGTCAATTTTACCTGTTCTTATCATCACTTATGGCTTTTTCATAATTTCTTCAGTAAAAATAAGTTAAATGGCCTATAGTTACTGGCAAATGGCAATTTCTAAAAATCAAACATGAAAAGATAATTTTTACTTGCAATCCACTGTGACTGTCACACTGTGCAGAGAGTCCATGGTCAGGAAGGTGCAGCGTGTACGCCGGAGGTTCGTTTTCGGATGTACGCCAGTACGCCAGGAAAGAAAGTTGCCAATATGCTTGCTAAAAACGGAAAAGATTTACCTGCAAGTTCTGTGCGTTGAAACACAAGAGTTACGTGATGCAGATCAGAGTTACGTCATGACGTCACGCAGGTCCCTGGTCATCTGTCAACATCGTCGTCCCAGTGCCGGTATCCGGAGCAAGGTCCGGAGATTGAAGCGTCGTCGTGCGGAACACACGCACGTCTTGATGCATGTCTCAAGTCTCATACACTCAGCAAGTCTCATCGCTTCTCTTCGTTCGATGCGCGACTTAATGGGTGTTTAGGAAGGCATCCATTATAACTGCCATTATGTAATGTTTCGAATGTGATTTCAAAGGCACCGAATCGAAAATGCCGATCAGAAACTTAGGCCTCGTTCTTGCAATGGTTCAGTCGTTAACAAGCATTCCTGTGATAGGCAACCCATTTCTGAGAATTATCGACGGGCCAGTATTACTTATTCGTCTGGGTTTTGAGTTGGCGAGCGCTGCGCCTAGCTTATTGGTAAGCTGAAATACTGGACCCAATATTATTAGACTTTGAAATCGGTGGTTACGTGACGTTCATATTAAATTTTTGAACATTCATGTGCATAATCGATGTTTATCATTTTTATAAGGATTGGCTTTAATGTTTAGGTTTGCTAAGGTTGAGCTGAGCTGCTCCCAAGATAGCAAAGTTAGTGCTGAGTGGAGTCTTTAGTCGCAAGTTCATCCTCGAATATTTGAATTGTGTCATATTGAGCATTGGGCGGGAGACCATGCAGCCTGTCATGCAGGGGTTATCGGACAACAGTTAATAAAAAAGCATCATCTTCTTGTAGCCAATTTCTCCATTATACCTTGTGTTTTGTTCGATGAAATATTACCGTTAATTCTTATTTGTTTGAAAAGTTAATAAATTGTTTTGTCGAGAATATGGAAAATGAACTTAATAAGAAACGAACCCGAAGAAGGCTTCATCGCACATTATAAGAGCCATTATATAACAGCCATTATATCGGCCATTATAACAGTCATTATATGACAGCCATTTTATCAGCCATTATATCAGCCATTATAACAGCCATTATAACACCCATTATAACAGCCATTATATCAGCCATTATAACAGCCATTTTATCAGCCATTATAACATCCATTATAACAGCCATTTCATCAGCCATTATGTCAGATATTTTAACAACCTTTATAATAATATAACGAGTAGCACACTAATCCAGTGCAAGAAGGTTTTACTGAAGAGGTTAGCTACAGTTAATTGCTAACCTGCGTTACTGTACACTGTCACAGCACACATTAAGTTGTTAATTACTAAACTGCGTTATATACTGTACACTGTCACAGTATACATTAAGTTGCTAATTACTAAACTGCGTTACTGAACACACTATTCACAAATAAAATTAATTGTTTTGTATGTGTCATGTGATTTTAGCAAAAGCCTATTGAAATCAGGGAGGTTTTTTTGGAGGACCCTGTATAAGGATTGGCTTTAATGTTT